TAAATGTGGGATTAATTTTCAGAAGCAGGCAAACTATTTGTACAGTTATAACGCTAAGTAGAAATTTTTTATTAGATTGGTACGATTTGATGATTTTTTTTTTTGCTTTGTTTTTCAGATGCTTGTATAATGCATTTAATATTGTATTCAGTTTTATGTCCATTTAAATAAAGTAAACTGTGCCACTTTAAGTCCAACGAAATTTAATGACAGTGAAAAAATGAAACAAATATTTGAGAAAGCTTTGTACCAAATTTTACTTAATAGGTTCGATTTTAAAGAAATCTCGATGGTTTCATTATACAATCTTGCAACAATAGAATATATCATCCAATACAGATATGTTTTACATTCATGCAGAACACAAACTACATTAATTGCACACACATCAGCAATATTTGTAACATTTTATATTAATGTTTCATAACACTTTGGAAATAATATTATTTGCTTGCTGTCCATCGTTGCATTTAATATGTACAGATAAAAAGAACAGAAAATTTAAATAGCACCAGAAATAAAACTTACCTAAAAATGTAGGTTTTTACTTTATATATATATATATGTATTTTGTTTCTAATGATTTCTGTTTTTTACATTTAGCTTGAATTATTATTAAATTTGCAGCATTCTGATTTAAGCTTTCAGTTGCTTAATGTTTAATTCATACAAAAAAATTAATTCAAATCGATAACATCATTTTAATAAATTACAAATGGGCATTCTTCTGGATTTATTTCTATATAAAGTAATAACATAAGTATAGATTTTGATGAACACTGTGTGTAGGTAATTCTAGGATCATCCATGTATCAGATCCTTATAACGCCAACAGCAATCATCAAAGTTCCACTGCCTGATTATTGTAATTGGAATCAATTAAAAATTGTAAAAGCTTGTCTGAAGGTGGTTACTTTAAATTTGTCCCATATAGGAAATTTTTATTTTCCATTATGTTCACTCGTTTCTAACCAAATTTTAGTTTCCCTTAATTGCAGTATCCATGTCACAGCACTAAATTTTAATAATTACTAATGGAAATAAATGGAGGCCTCATTAATAAGGTTTTATTATAAGGTTTAATTTATAATGTTTAAATAGTAAGGTTATTGTAATTAATAAGGTTTTGACATATAATTTTAAAAAGTTTAGAATTTTTCTGAATTTTTTTTAACTAAATACTAAATTTATGTATGTATTATAATAAGAAACAGGATATTTTTAAGATTTGAAGCAATTTTATTTGTTGTTTAGATTGTTGTTTTTAAGATGTTTACATCATCCTATCACTAAAAACCAAGTAACCAGAAGGTGCAGTTTCCTAAACTGTGGTATACATACCACCATAAAATTCTGTATTAAAGCTGTTGAAATACTGTGCATGGAAGATTTTATATTTGGAGATTAGGTAATTATAGAATAGTTTTAATAGTGTTATGTATAAATAGCCATAAGTGTTATTAAATATACACATTCATGTTTTCTTATATTATTTTATAAAATTTTCTTATAGGGACGTCTTTTTATTGAAAGATTTAATCTATATCAGCACACTTAAATTTATCATAACTTTTTAAGTTTTATGAAAGTTTATTGCTAATAAAACATAGAGTTTCTGAAATATGAAATTAAGAACGAGTTTCTGAGTGATCAATGCAAAGTTGTGTACGATGCGACATATATAAATCTTTAATCCTGTTTTCCAGAAAACAATATTTTTCTACCTCATCGCGATTCCTAAAAAACTATTCATTGAACTTTTATTTTGCTTATATGAGTTTATTGATAGTGGAATTCTCTAAAATTTCGTGTAGCAACCCTTATCTACCCCCCCCCCATCGTTCTCTAAAACAAAAAGACAAGGTGATTTTTTTCTGTAAAAGTAAAATTTCAGTTTAGATTTTAATTGGTTGTGTAAAAGTGTATTAAAAAACTGTATAAAATTACAGTTATTAAACTTAAAATTCTCCTGGCAAAAAAAAATTTCTTTTAACCATCTTCGGAAATATTATATTTTCTCAATTTCGAAATAAATAGGATATATAATTTAGAAGGTCAATTTTACCACTAGTGCAAATTCCTCGAAATTATTTACTAATTATGAAAGTTCTTATAAAAGTTAGTGGTTTTATTTCAACTATTTTTCTTTAGCTAATTATGTTTATAAAATAATCCAATACTGCAATTTTGATTTATGCAATAAAATAATGTTTTTTAAATTTACAGAGTAATAATAAAAACATGCTAATTATGACCATAAAAATGTTTCCATTTCAATGGCTTACAAAATTAAAATTCAACATAAATAAGTCTATTAAAATTCTTTTTCAAAAGAAAAGAATCGTTCAATGAAAAGAAACAGTAAAGGAAATTGCACAACTGCTCACTGAAAAAAATTAGGAAGGTGATTGTTAAAAACTAAAGGATCGTGAAAATTTTGTTTCGAATAACTATTTTTTACAATAATTTACACTCGTAAACCTCTTTTTATTAAAATATCGATTTACAAATTATATGCTGTGTGAAAAATAGTAATTTATAATCTGTTTTTCTAGTAATTCATTCTATTTTGCTATTCTAAAGAATTTATGCTTTATTGTATTAACTTTTTCCCAAGCAAATTGTGAAAATCCAAATACCAACCTCGCAAAAAGTTTATTTCAGTTTTAGTTAGTAATATATGAATCTAGAAATTACTGTGAATATTTGATTTTCTTTTACTACGTCTACATTCTTATTTTTATTAAATAATGACCTATACATCTACTAAGTCTCCTGTATTATTTTCAATTTTTATTTGGACATGACTGAAAGCAGGCTAGAACACAAATGTAAAAATAGCACAATGTCCTTTATATTAAATATTCACTGTGATTATGATGAAAAGGATTTTGACGATTTTATTCTTTGATTAAAAAATCAAATGGGATTTTTCTATTTGTTATACTATTGTGGCTTCCACCTATATTATCATAAGAAGCACGTTAGAAATAGGTCATGATGAGGTATAGATGAGTGGAATTGCATTTTTCTGGAAAACATAACTGAAGTTTCATTTTTATCTCACAATTTTGCGCACTTGATGGTTTCAGAAAAGAAGGAAAAATCAATTTCTGGAGAAATTCAAGGGTATTTTCAATCAAACGCAATTATTAATGATCAAAATAAGTAAAAAAGTGTCTTTAAGAAAAGAGTACCATAAAAATAAATTAAACATAGGAAAAAGAAGAAATTTTTCCCCCCTTCATTCCTCATTAAACAAAAATGAGTAAATAGTATATTTTCTCGATCTTCTGAAGTTCAAATAAGAAAGAAACAGATAATTATTAAAATTTGAGTGCATCACGTATACCGGAATTATCCTGTATTATCCTTATCAACCCTATATTATCTATTATCTTCATTTTATTTGACTATTTATTTAAAAGAAGCGAAGGAATAGTAAATAGCAAAGTCAGATAGTTGTATTGAAAATACAACTCTCAAGTATTAAACTATTTTCTCTTAGATTCAATTTGAATAAGTTTTTAAAAATGATTCATAGATAATTAGTAAAATATCTGGATTATATAATAGAACTTATATAACCTTTAGTTAATAGGATTTTATTGAAAAAATTTTTTTGGTGAATAAGTAAAATTTGTTTAAGACTAAAAAAAAAATAATTCTATTTTTCTTTAGTTCGTTTTTATTCATTTTTGAATTACAAAAAAAATTTAATAGATTTATTTACAGAAAATAACAAAGGTATTCATTAAATAGCACTTCTTGTAATCTTACAAACACACATATTCTTTCTACATTTTTCAAAAGAACGCAAACTATATTTATGTACTTACAAAATTTATATAAATTATGAAATGTAGAAAAAGTTAAAAGTTTAAATTTCTCTTTATAATAAAACTTCTAAAAAATTTCTTTTTCGAAGTCAATTGGCAGTTAAATAACTCTCATTTCGTGATATTTAGTTTTCATCATCTAGTTTTTAAAAAGAAGATCCATGTATAATGTTTACTTTATTACGATATTAATTTCTCTGAAATTTCTGTTTCACAAAGTAAATTGAAATTATATTTTCTGAAACACAAAGCAAAACTTTTACCTGGATATTGGGATCCATTTTAACTGAAATAAATAGAAAAAAATTCCATTTATGTGTCTCTTTCTTTCTTAACAACTTACAAATTTGAAAAATCTACTGCAGCTCATTGAAAGAGTAGAAAATTATAAAAATCTGTTTTGTAACGTAAACTGTAGAAAATGATTCAATGTAAAACAAAAGTAACATTGTAGATTACATTTCCAAGTGGATGGTGTTTTCTGCAATAGACATAATTATTGTCTATTGCTGCAAGCTCTTGACTCCCTATACTTCCGAGTTACTGCTTTCAGTGTCTTTTGAAGCCATTTGGCTCATAACGTGATCATTGTGTTTTCAGATTCTCTTGAGAAGTATTTCTTGTATACGTGTATTTGTTTCCTGATTTATTATTTATGTTTAAAAGAAGAATTTTTATATGTATCGTCATTTGAAGACCTGTCCTTTCAAGACGTACAAGTTGTCATTTGAAAAAAAGAATCGAATACACTTCTTACCTTGTTAACAATATACCAACTTCGAAACATAAACCTATATGAAATTTGAAAAATAAACTTGATATCGCTGCTCGAACAATATGCCAACACTAACATATGATGGTGCATGGTTTGCACCAAGAATAAACAGTTATAAACACGTAAAAAGAGGCCAAATCAGAATTGCCTAAAAAGCGAGTTCTTTCTAAATCTAGCAATCATGTCACATTTTTTTAACAATGCATATATACGTAACTAAAACCAATTTTCTTTTCAAACCTGCCAGAATTACTTAATATCATTAATATTTTATGAAATACAGCAGATTTGAGCTCAGAAATTATATAATTTATTTCTTTTATTAAGGAGAAAGTTATCTATTTGAAAATATCGCCTTACAGAATAAACTGTAGTAAGCAGCTGTATACTTTCTAACCGGAAGTAGAGCAGGTCAAGAGCTCGAGATTGTTGTTGAAACATTTATATTGAAAACACCATCCTTACACAAGTTTCTTAAAGAGCTTTCCAAAAATTTTAAGTTGACTTTCCTAAAGCATTTATCTATTGTTAAAGTTATAATATTTCTAAAAAACACGGTAATAAAGAAATAAAATGAGCAATCTGAGTATTACACACGTGAATTAAATTATGAAACAGAAAAGTACTTCTCAAAATCCATTTTGACTAAAAAAATTCAAGAAAAAAGTAGGTCATATACATGGATATTTTTTGCAACGTGATTTTTGTTTTCAATATGAAAAAAAGTATGTTTTGTGACGCAATTGTCGAACAACAAAATTAGATATGTATAGCAATGAGAGATATTTTTCTTTTTATTTACATTTAAAGGCATTTTTAAAGAGGTTGTTCTAATACTTTTTGGAAGCTTTAAAAATATCTTTGAAGGAGGAAAAGAGGCTCTTACTATTTTCTTTAGTCAAAGAACAATCTTGCATAATTATATCTGGTGCAATTTTTATTTTCTGTTCTTTCGATAGAACTTTAAGACTAGAGTTGGGAAGGTCAAGCGAAGTAGGCCTGGTCAGGTTCTGCAAAGTTCGGACCCAATCTCTGTCCTCTTGATGGTATATGTGGGACTCGAGTTGCTCCATCGAATTCATCCCATAAAGTGGAGGGTGGTGAGAATGATGTGATGGCACTTTCTTGTGATTCATAATCTGAATTTCTTCTAGACTTTCTATCATATTCCAGTGTCTCTGGTATGGTCTTCCTGTGCTGATACTCGTCTCGGGAGGCCCCTGAAATATTCCATGACTATTAAGTACTTATTGTATTGAAGTATTTGGTAAACGTTTAGCTAGTAACTTAAAATCATTTATTTCTTAATTGAATCATTTATCATTTTTTGTGTGAAATCACAGAAATTTTAAAAGAGGAGAATTATGACTTGATAGCCTTTTCCTACTTAAAAGCTTTATTTAAATAAGCTTTAGCTTTATTTTTCTGGGATGTAGTTAAATAGTTTAGCCAAAGATAGCCGAAAGTTTTATTATAAGATGAATTAAGTTATTGAAAAGTCTATTTTTACAGATAACTGAGAAAAACAGAGGTCAGAACAATGGAAAATAAGAAATGTAATTCGGATCATTCAGACTAACTACAGTATTTTTGAAGGAATAAAAACACGGAATGCTCAAAGGTTTCTAAAATAATGGCTATAAAATCACTTAATTATCATATCTAATTTGGAAAATAAGCTATTTGTAGACATCTAACATGTAGGCAACGGCTCTCTACAAACAGATATACAGGTAGGTTTAGTTCATATCTCCTACAAAACTATTTCATAATTTGTGGTATTTGAACGTTTCAGTTCTATTTATCCAATTACTCTAAGACTTTGTGTTTTCATTACGAGGCATCACTTAATTTTATATTTCTAGCTTAAACATTGAAACCAGATTAACTTTCTACATCGAAAGATCAGGGTCTAACCAAAGCTTTCAAACCATAAATGATGAATCCACAAATGTGTTACGTCGAAGAAGTTTTCCTGAAGTTAGCAACATGACAATTTGGCTCAAACTCATAATACCGCAACCACTTGGAATACTATATATCAGTGCTATAGTAAAAACATGCCTTCATGAATCAGACTACCATGAACAGAATCTAGGTTGATTTTCATTAGCGCATGGAGCCTCATTTCTATGCTATTGCATTATAGATGTAAGATTTCAAATCATAGTGAAAAAATTGCGTTTGAAAGTACTAAATATTAGAACCTATTCTTTAAGAAAGTTATATAGTAATTTTTGCTTCATTTCCCACTTTCTATTCCCAGCGTAGCAATGATTAATATTCTACAACCAACATTTGTACAAGATTTCAATTTGAGACAAATCTGAGTTTAAAATTATAATGAAGTAAATTTACCATGAATAAAGACGCGTTTTTACATTTTAGCCAAATTCTTTGCTACGCTGATTAATTAATTATAATTTATTTGTCTTGCAAAAGCTCAGCAGTTTTATGAAGAAAAAAATCTACTCTTGAAAAACTATTAAATAATTCTCTTACATCCAATCCAATCTCTTATAACCAATCGGTAAATTTTTTCAGTTAACTCATTGTTAAAAAGACTTTCAAGTTTCAAACACCAACATTTGTTTTACAATATACAGTACATTTTATTTTGATACTATGCATAATTTTGAGATATCTCAGTAAAAAAGAAAGAGCAAAACTACAAGCAACATTCTTTCACCATTCTTTCTATCTAAATAATACTTCACATTCCACTGACAGTCTGCTCGGCCTAAATAGCTCCGCCGCTGACCTTTGGGCTGTTTTAATTCCTCTTCAATTGGTCGCAGGAAATTTGATGGTACTAGTCCTTTTGCGCCATTCAGCTCACCGATATAAAATCCATCCTCATCTACCTCACCAATGACGTAGATCACATCACCAATACTAAATGATAGTTCCACCTGAAACAAAATAATATAACATTTTAGTATGTTTATGAAAATAGAAGAATTGGAATGTAAACTACAATTTTGAGAAAAGCTTTTACAAATATCTTACAAAATAAAAAAATAAGACATTCTGTATTTTGAGTAAGGGATTTGCAATACATTTTGCCTCGGTGACGATAAAATCTGCTCCCCGTCTTGTTTGTACTTAAAAATCAAGTTTATTGTTATTTTTCTTCAATGCAGCATAAAACATTTATAAATATTAAAACTTTAAGTTAATTTAAAAACTTGCACTTTTCCAATAATAATTTTTTTGATCAAGTTTAATGCATTCTTTGGAAAAGTGCTTGTTTCGTAACCGATAATGGGTCGATTCCGAAACTCAGACCTTTTTGAGCCCACTCAAAGCTTCTCTGGGGCAGCCGTTAGAAAACAGACTGAAACATTTTATGAGTTTTCATCAGTTTTGGAGAAGAGAGGAGATTTTCTTTTTGTTATAAATAAAAGATTTTGTATAGAAGTCATTTTGAAAACAAACTTTTCATTTTAATACAAAATATTTTCCAACGCAATACCGACAATATTTTTATCACTTTTTCATTAAAATAAAAATTTATGTAACATACACATTTAGAGATTGAGAATTTTCTTGGGGCATTTTAAGTAGAACGACCAAATCACTTTAGTAGGAATGCTCTTTAGGTACGTAAAAATCGTGATTGTATTTTATTATTCCCTGAGATTTTAAATATTTTATTGTAATTTAATTTTCTTATAGAAATATAAAATATTGGTAAAAGAATTATTCTTAAATAAAGAACATGAAAATTATGAATTAAGTCAATCAATATTGAGAGCTAACAGAGGCTAGTTTTCGAAGGCTATGCCGTCGTCTGAAATGATACTTATTTGCGAATAATATGCTATTTTTATAACAGCTGTTAGTTTGCAACAATTATTCGGGACTGTTAGATCAAGTTTAGCCTATCTTTAGCCAGCAGCACTCTCTATGCTTATTTTGAAAATGGCGCAAAAAGTCATTGTGAAGAAAAGCGAAAGTTGTGCGAAAATGAAAAGCGTCTGTGGTCTAATTTTTGTAATATTTAATTTTTACTCCAATGCTGCATTATATGGGCTCATAAAAACTTACAAAAATGAGAATAAGGCATTGATTTTGATAATTTTAAACTAGGTGAGAAAATGTCGCAAAATTTTCGAATTTTAAAAAAAAAAGTTAAGCGAATTATAAAACCTTTAACGCTATTTTTGGAAGCTCTGTCTCCAAGGAAAATAAAAAGCCATAGTTTAAGTGCCTTACACTTGAAGCAATACGATGATTTTCAACTATATATATAATCGTGCCATGAAGAATTATCTGAGCATTGGAACTGGCAATTAACTTAAATATTTTATAAGTTATTAAACTTTTTAAAAATTGCCAATTCTGCGATATTTTTCCACCTAGATTAAAATTATCAAAATCACTGCCTTATTCTCCGTTTTGTAAATCTCCGTTTATTTTTTGCATGGAATTATCTTTGGATAAACGAATTTCATAATTGAGTGTAAAAACTTTTCAGTTTGTTTTAAAAGTTCTCGAGATATAGTGGAATACGCAAAAAGGAAAATTAGCATCAAAGGGTCCAAACTTTGGAGCCATCTCCTGATCCAACTGTTAGGACCATATTTCCCAGATTGTGGTTACTCCCTATATTTTGGAGGTCTAAAACCCAAATCTGTCAAAAAAAAAGCATGTTTATTCAGAGAAAGTACGTTGTTTTTTGTCTGATTTTGTAATTTAAAATTTCGTCTGCAGTTATTAATTTGCTTATTTGAAGTCACCCCTCTCAAGCCATTAAGATTAAGTCCTAAAACGTGAAAATCCGATCATTGCCTCAAAAGTTATTCAGGGTGGTCAGTTTTTTTTGCGCACTGTAGTTGGGAAGCTTTATATAAAGGCCGCTGCAATGACACATCAAGACATACATTTCATTCCCTTAAAAGTTTTTACATTAAACGAAATAAGTGAAAAAGGAAATTATAATTGCTATTACGACCATATTTTCCAAATTGCAACCCTTTGTGCCATTGAAATTGGAAATTCGTTTGTCATGATGTTTCATTGCGGCAGCTACTTTAAAAAACTTCCTAACTTTCCCTGGATTAGGGTACACAGTCAGAAAAAAAAGAAAGGAAAAAAAAAGATATCACCCTGAATAACTTTCGCTCTAATGATTGGATTTTCACGAACTAAGTGCCAATATTAATGGCTCCTGTGGGTGATCTCAATTATGCTAATTATTTAGTGCTAACTATTAATTAAGTTACGAAATCAGACACAAAAACGTACTTTCTCTGAATAAACATATATTTTTTTACATATTTAGAATCTAGACCCTTGAAACAGGGGGAGAGTGGTTAGACAAAATTTCGAAGAAATTCGTTCGCAAATTGGGTGGCAATAAAGATTTATATATATGGCGAAAGTTTAAAAAAATGCTTAATTACCTCGCCATAGAAGGTGAAGCAATTGAAAACAACCATAAAGAAACTGAATGAATGACAAGACGGCAAAACATCGTGTTTCTCCTTTGCTAAGATACCAAGAGGAGAATTTTTGGGGCTGCTTTCTAGGCAAAGAAAACAGATTGTTTTCTTTTTATCTCCTTTAAAAATAAAATTTGAAACGATTTATAAATTATTTATGATTTTCCGAGATTTTAGAATCTGAGAATCTTTTTATCTGAGATTATTTATTTTTTTAAAGCTTATTATTTGTTTCGTCATTACGTCATATTATTACGTCATTTGTATGAAAATTTTGTACTAAAACCAAATTTACATAAGTTATTATAAATTTAAGAAGAGTCGTTGGGCTAATTGCTTTTACACCTCAGTTCGCGTCTCTTAGGTAAGGGAAAGGAAAAAATTTGGAGGGCCCGAAAAAGATTGCAATTCTGATGCACAATCACAAGGTCTTGTAAAATTCACGATATTTCTTTTCGATAAAATTAAAAAATTTAGTAAATGAATGTTAAGTGGCATTTTAAAAATTGCATGGCTTTCTTGAATAAGCATGATTTGCAAATACGTTTCTACGTTTCTATACATTCCGAAACTGACTTTTGCGAACATGTTATTCCGTTCACACCCGCTCAACATGTTCTTTCACTAAGCTCTTCGATTGCGATCAGTTACTTATTTATCACGAAATATGGCTACTAAAGTTTCTTTGTTTTATTCCTTTATTTACAAACTTATTTTACGATTCTCACCATTACTACTGAAATCTGATTCGATAGCCTCATTTTAAGTAGAGTTCGTAAGTTCCTTAAGAAATTAAAAGCGTGACAGCAAAACTAAGACGAAGTATTTTATTATGTTTATATTCACCACAACATTTAATATTTAATTCCAAAACCTTGTAAATTTGTGGACGCGCAATTTTGTGTTTCCAAATTTTAATTTTAAATTTAATGATAACTTTATAATTAGGATACTGATACCACAGTTTTCTCACTTTTTTAAGGACATAGAACTCCTTTTAAAATATTAAAATACAGATGTTTGCTACTACGAGCATAAAAACTAAATTTTTATAAATGAAAATTCAGATTTAGAAAAATAAAATAAAAAAAGAGTTTCAAATCTTCGAAAAAATTAAAATACTTCAAAAGTTGGCTTTAACGCCTTGAGGTCCCTAATAAATTGCAAAGTAAATTTTACTTGTAGTTTTTCATTGTATTTTGCAGTTGTAGATTATTTAGAGATTTGCTAATTTTAATTAGACTTTTACGAATCTTAATTGTTACATTAGGGAAAATAATGCCCCACTGCTCCGACATTCTAAAAGGAAAAACAGTAGCGCTTTAGGAAGATGGAAAATTAGTCGGGTATTGAGAAATTAGTCGGGTATTGAATATATCTAATTATGCAGCTAGAAGTGTTTGAGGTAAATAATAATTTGAAAATTCATAATTGAAAGGTATATAATTCGAAATAAATTCTTTGTTACTTAATTGTATAAAGTTATAATCAGCATCGGATTTTATTTTTAAATTCGAACTTTTTTATCTATTGTTGTAAAATAAAGTTTCCTAAATCTATTTGCATGTATGTTAAATTATATTTGAGATTTATTTGTAACAAAAAAGTTCAAGGATCCTATTATTTCTTAAAATTTGCCTAATACTTATTTGATTTCTGAAACATTTGATGGGTTGTAAAATTTTGCCTAAGGTAAAGAATTGATTATTCTGCTCTTATAACTAACCGAACTTATAAGTTCTGATTCTAACTAGAAATAAACTTAATGAGAAGTGAAGAAAGTGAAGGAGCTCTTTATGCATACGAAATTTTTTTTCCTCCAGTTTTGGCTTCCATTTTTGACCCTCCACTACCCTTTACTATTTCCAGCAATCATGTAAACAAATTCAACATGTAAACAAATCTTTTCATTGGTATTTTTTTATTTTCTGAAACTATTAGAAGATGGTCGCAGAAATTATAGGGAAAAAGTAGCTTACCAACAATATTTAAAAATCAATGCGGTTGGTAGGAACTATTCCTCCCACCGCCTTAAATAAATTAAAAATGCTTAATAAAGTAAATTATCTGAAACTAAATGCACATGTGATAGATAACTCTTTGAAGTTTTTCTGAGTTGAAGTAACAATTTAACTCCTCGATCAATAAGTCAGTGACATTCATTGCTTAAATAATCTGCTGCTTAATTAATAGAAAATTATAAATAGAATAAAAATGTTTGAATTTCTTCTTATAAGATTAAAGTGGATACTTTTTAAGCATTTTGAACATTACAAATATTGTAAAACATAAATTAGCTAAATATTATAAAACTTTTAATTTTTAAATTTAAAAACTATATAAAACAAATTAATGTTTTGTAAATTTATATTTTAATTATTTAATATAAATAATTTACTTAGTGAAGTGTAGCAAACTTATATGTATCTTTTCCTAACAGTTCTTTTATTTCAGTTGGTTTGTAACAGTTTCTTTTTACAAAAACTCATCAATTTTAATATCGTATTTTAAATTGCGTGGGGTTATGTAGAGGATAAACAAACTCATAAATTGTGCTAAATTATTTTCTAGTGACTAGCCGAAGTATTGTTAGAAAAAAGTTCTCTTTGAAAAAAATGTTTTAAATTTTTTAAAAATGTTAATTTCTTTAACTATGTTGGTGTATGTTAATTGTAAAAAAAAAGAAAATTTTCAATATCTTGACTCAAACAAAAACATATTGCAGCGGATCATAGTGTTTAAATAGCAAGGTTAGAGATTTTTTTTTTTAAAAAAGTTAAAAGATAACAATTCATAATGATTTAGATTTCGGCTGCTTACTAGGGTCAAGGTTTTTGCTTCATCTAGGGAAAACTGATGGTCAATGTGAAAATTATATAAATAGCCATTTAAAAAAATACACAAACTTTGTAACATTTGTAAAATATCAAGTAATTTTCCAAATTAGATTTTTTTAAGAAGTGCTGCATGGTTATAGAAGAGATCAATGGTTAGAGAGAGAAGGTTCAATGTTGCATGATTAGAGAAGAGATGCGGAAGTGGAAAATGGGAAACTAAATTGTCAAAAAATAATTTTTCTGGTCTCTCTCTCTACGCGCTTTTTTTCAGTCTTTAGAAAAACTTATATGTAAAGAACTCTAACTACAAAGAAAGTTAACCTAAGAATATATGATTAAATAAAAACTATAAATATATTTTTCAAACAAATATTATTTTTAAGGAGGAAAAATTAATAATTTGTGAAATATAAGTCTGGGTCTCATTCGGCGCCCTTCTAACCTGACGCTCCGGGCGATCGCCCGCCACTTTCGCTGGCCTTGTATGCTTGTTCAATTTTGAATTCATGGGGTTTTCAAATTCGAGTATATTTTTTTCCGGAGCTATTTTGACTTATTTTTGCTCAATTTTGAGAAATTTTTTTTCCTGCTGTTCAGGCGTGTAGTCAAAATGTTCTATCAGAGAAGGCCAAACTGTTAGTTAATAATCTATATATAATAATATTTTTGTCCATTTTTAAATCATACTTGCTACAAAAAGTAAATGGCGTACGGGAAAATACATTTCTAAGGCGAGGCGATAACTATCAACTTCACATGACTAGCAGCGAATGTTTCAAAGCAATTTTTTTAGCAAAAAATGACAGCTTTGAAGCAATTGGAGCAAGAAACATGTTATTACATACAATTTGAGATTTGCTTTTAAAAAAAATTTCCTATTAATATAAAGCTAGTAAACTTTTGTAACATTCATAGAATGACATTACCTCAGAATCAACATTGGGGGATATTTCCTGGGGATCATAATCATAGATAGCCACCATTTTCTTTATTCTTCGATCACCTCTGCTATCTAAATATTTTTGAAAGTAATGATTAAGTATATCAGCTCAGAAATAAAATATTTGACAAGAATATTTTTTTTACAAATAAAGTCATTTTTCATTATTTAGCTTTAAATAGTAATATTATGGAAGCAAAGCTAATTTATGAATTAAATTTAACTGTGTGCTTAGATTAATAAATTAAAATTTGTGCATAATCGGAATAAATTTTAAATATTATTTATAAAATGAAATTTTAAGTTTTGAAAAATAGATGGTTGAAATACAAAAAAATAAGATTAAAAAGATAGCACTATTTAAATAAATAGATAACAATGTACTTAAAACAATAAGAGATGTTAAAAAACAAGAATAATGCTTAAAAATTTCTCTAAATTATGGCGCACATGTGTGGTAAAATGTTTCACTAAGATAAAAAACCGAAAAAGAAAACAAAAGAAACATAGAAACTTATTGGTATCTGCTTCTCTGTTGTGAGACAAGATCTCAATTGGACATATTGTGAGAGAGAATTTCATAATGTCATGACATTGTAGGTCAGAACCTTATCTCATTTTAATATATTGTATAAGATTTAAAGGATTTTGTCAAAATAGCTCAGCCATTACAATTTCTGTATATAACATATAAAACAAATTGGCTTTACTTTTGATGAAATATTTATACAACAAACTTGTTCAATTTCCCAATGCAAGTTATCAAACTGATATACCTCTCATAGTTGAATTTTTTCAGTCAAAAGTAGGGTCAATCAATGCTAATAGAAAATTCTGAAATTTTATTACTATTTTTGAGGCCAGAATAAATAAAAAATTATGCTAAGAATCTATTTCTCTGCAATCTATGTCTTTACATTGTCTACCAGCTAACGAATAAAAACCTTGAAATTATTTAAAATAAAACTATATAAAAAGGAAAAAAGTTAAAACTTTAATCTTATAGTAACCTTAAGTAAAGGTATTTTTAAGAAACCATTATTTTAAGCCCTATAAATTGAAAAACTAGCACAGAGTTTTTTCTCCTTAACAATAGGATGTGTTTCAGAATTAATGTTTATGAAAACTTCCGAATACGACTGTTCCCTCTAATGTTAGATATTACAATTTAGGAAAAAAAATATCTACAACACTTACAAACACAGCATTTTTTTATAAGGCTTGATAAGCAAATTTTCAATAACTTCAAAATTTGCTTCTCTAGCAGACTTTAAAGTTAAATTTAAAAATAATAAATTATGAAAATTCCACATTCGTTTCACAACTAAGAAAATAATTACAAATATTCTTTTTTTCAAGTGTGTATTAAAAGGAAGTAGTGTTTTGATTAAATTGTTTGATTCAAGTTTTAAATATCTAATATTTACTTAAAAAGTTACTAAAAATGAAAGATCAGAATAATTATTTTATTAGATTCTTCAGCTTGAAGAAGAATTAGAACTTGGTTTGTAATGAATTTAAATCTTAATTGAATTAAAATTTTCATAAGGCTACAAACCTTTGAGCATTGATTATCATGCCATCATGATATAATATGATCATCCCAATATAGCAATTTATTTTTAATAAAATCACCTTATACAGTCTATTAAAAAAATTTTAATTGCAAAATGAATCAATTGATAAGTTCAAAAAATTTCATTAAAATTATTTAACAAATATTTAATGTTAATTAATTTCTAACAATTATTAATGCACATATTTGTATAGTTTTAAAGAATACCTTATTCTGTTATTAATATTTCTGGTATTAGTATGTAAAAAAATTAGGATTTTAACCTGCATGGGAACTGCAGTCGAATCCCGCTAAAATAAACCGGCCGCGGTTCTAGCAATAAGGCCACTATAAGCAATGGCTCATTATATCTAAAATCCTTGATAAAATATTCATAAGTTTGGAAATAATTATCGCAATACTACATATACTTTATAAATTATCAATTAGTAAGTTATTATTATTATTAAAATAAGTATCACGAGTCCTTCCTTAACGAAATTGTTTTGAGTAAAAAATTTTTCTCATCGTAAAGTTTTTTAATAAAACGTTTAAAAGCGTTCAAAATATTCCCCATATAATGAAATAGTAGTTTCCCTAAAGCGAATTTTTAAGATCTCTTCTCAATCTGAATACTCACAATATCTCAATTTCTGAACACATTTTAGACTCTCAATTTCGCAAGTCAATTTCAAATATCTCTTCTCAATCTTCTTCCTTTTGGAACTTTTTAGATGCTTATTTCGTCATTTTGAAAGAAAATTGTAATGGGAACTTCTGTGTAATTATTAAGCTCTACTTGTTTTTGAAAACACTCACTTTATCCATTTCAACGAAATGATTCATTTTAAACATCCGTTTATAATGTGCATTACTTCTTTTTTAATTAAACTGATATCAAATAATTCATATCTTTTATTTAAATAATACGAACAAGTCCAAGTTTAACGAACTACTAATTTCTCAGCTGTTAACTAAGCGTATGAAACAACAGAAGTTAAACAGCAGTTCCGACTTAGCCACTAAAAAACGTATCCTGGGTTCATTGTAGCTGAGTTAAACTGTATCTGGTGGCATTTGTGAGCCCTTTTTTAAATGCATTTTTTTATTTTAAAGTCAATCTTGCATTAATTTCATTCTTTCTCACTTATGAAATTTGTCATCGTGAATAAGGATTGGTTGGAAGGAAGTCATAAGAAGCATATTCAAATCAAGTAATGTAAACTTATAATAAGAAATGAAGCTTCTAACTTTTTGAAGAGAACCATAGAGTTACTCCAAATTCATTCAATAATAAAAGTTTACAGTAAAGACCATTTTATGTTTTTAATTGTTATAACCTTTAATCGTTATATATCACACTTCTTTTGGATTTGCCTGATATATGAACGAACTACAAATAGACAAAAAATAACATCGAAATAATAAAATTTGTTCAGGTATCCATTAAATGTCCAAGAAAATATTAAGGCACTAATTCAGAAATATGGCGAATTCACCCATAAAAAGTTTTAGTAAATCATAGTAGATTGTAAATTGCGCAAAAAAAAAGGAACACCCTGAATAACATTTGATCTAATAATCAGACCATGTACTAAAACTCAATCTTAATGGTTTGAGGGGGGACCTCAAATATGCAAATTAGTGCAAACGGTATTTTAAGTAACGAAATCAGACACAAAAACGTACTTTATCTGAATATACATACCTTTTTTTTAAACCGATTTGGATTTCTGACAGTCAAATTATAGAGAGTAGCCTCAGTCTAGAAAACAAGGTCCTAATAATTAGGTCAGGAGAGTGGTCCAAAGTCTGAATCCCTTAATTTTAAATTTACTTTTTGCGTATTTCGGTAAAACTTGAGAACTTTTAAAAGGATTTAAAGCTTTTTTAAACACAGTTATAAAATTCGTTTATCATAAGAAAATTCCTTTTAAAAAATAATTTTTAATGATTATTTAATTTTCTTTAATAATAGTCAAAAAATTTCGAATTGCAATTGTATAGAAATTTTTATACCATTTTCAAAAATGTAATTTTATATGTCAAAATACAAAATTTGAACGAATACAAATTTCAAACATACGAATTTTGTTAAATTCTTTTTCTCAATCAAAAATTATTAAGAGTGTTCCCCTTTTTTTTGAGCACCTAACATTATAAGTGGAATAAAAAAACTCTATATAAATCTTTACTATCAATGTAGCAAACTTTTATTGTAAAATTAAGATCTTATTATACATCAGTCTTTTGTTGCTGTGACAAATGGGATTCAGTAATTTTTTGATGAGAAAAATCAGACTGTTTGATTTTCGTGAAATAGTTGCTTGTCTGTATTAAAATAATTTTCAACTACTCCAGTTTGGTATTAAATTAATGTTTTTATTTTGTCTAGGATTTAAAAAATATACATTAAGAGTAATTTTTTATCAACAGGTTGCAAAATCAAATACCAGTATATGCTTATAAAAGCACTCAAAAGCACTTTTAATATTATTTAGTTATTGTCAAAAATGTCTTTAACTCTCACCAACTTTGTTAAGTAACTGCATAATTGTTAGGCTGATTCTGCATTTCACCAAGCAAATAAACAGGCTCTTTCTCTGAGTAGACAACAAAACGAATGTGATAAAAATGATGTCATACCCAATATTCCTTTTTAAAAAAAATCTATATGTAACATGTTCTTAACTAATTTTTGCTTAAACCAATTTTTTTTATTTAATTCATTTCTATTTCGACTTAAATTTTAATTTTTCTGGCTACCTTTTATACTACTGCATGGAGTACAGCCACTGGCCCCTGTTTACTTATGGGGAATTACCCATTGAAAGATCCAAGCCTTATCTATTGTGGCTCCTACACACAACTGGTATCATAGGACATCTACTGGTACCCTGCTGAACATAAAATGCGAACCCAGACTACTTTGGCCAGATTTGCAAGTGGCCATCTAAAATGCCTTACTTTTGAGAGAGGCAGAAGCCTACCTACAAAAAATGCTGTGCTCAACCGAAACATATTCTGGTTTGCCTTTCTAAGGTGGATTTTACATCAGATCCTCTTTTTGTAGCGGATTTTCTTGCAGTCAGGAGTCCTGGAGCTTATCAGACATACAGTCCCTGGCCAAGACGCACTATAAGATTCTATGTAAAATTTTAATTATCAGGTGATACTTTACAGCTTTATTGTTTTTACGTCATTGAAACCGGTTTGCACATGTTTACGTTAGTGTATCAATTGGTTAAATTAGACGATAGATAATATAAATTTGACGATAGGATAAATTAGACGATATACTAGATAAATAAAGAATATTTATTATATCAAGCATTATATGTCAAATTAAGAGGATAAGCAACAACAACAGTTAAACGGAGTGTTTCCAAAATCTATTTCCATCTCTGTATTTATTTTTATTTCAAATGGAAGAGGAAAAAAAATGTTTGGAAAACAGATTATTAAACAGAGCATAAAATATTTATTATTTTTTGTTTCGAAAATATTTGATTGCTGAAATCACAATGAGAATCAAACTTGGTGTTGACAAACGTTTTCTCTTAAAATTCGAAAAAAAGAGTTTATACTCACTATTATCATTAAAAGGATCTCCGTCTATCTGAACTTCAGATACCATATTTCCAGGAACTAAACCAACTCGGCCATTAGATTCTCCACGATAAAATCCATCACTGTCTTTATCACCGTATATCTAGGAATGTGAAACACTTATTGATCTGTTCTTTCAATTCAAATGAGTTGACATCTTTAATTTTTTGCAATAGAATCAACTCTTCAAAACTACTATAATAGGTGAAATTTAGCAAATGATAAAGATATTTAAGGATTTTAGATAGAGTATATATTTTATTATTTCAGATATATCATGTACTGCATTTGAGGGGGTCATTTGGCGGACAGTTCAATGATTTTTTTACAATGTTTCGGTTCACTAGAGAGCTTTGATATTAATATCAAGTCATTGGATGGGTGTCAAAGTTTCTAAAAACATATACATATACTAAAAAAATTTATTAAACTTCTTTAAAAAATTTGTTATTTTGTCCATGTCACCCTAGATTGTTAGGACAGATGTCGCCATAATCGATAATGATGCAAACATGACATGAGTCTGGTTAACAACATTCTTTTTGGCCTACATTTAATGTGAACCATTGTTTATTTCGGTTATAGGCATTGTGATCCTCTGCTGTCTAATTAGTATTATGTACTGCATTTGAGGGGGTCATTTTTGCGGACACTTTAAAGATTTTTTACATTTTTTCGGTTCACACAAATGCACTGCAAGACAATGATTAGAAAGCCGAGGAGAGGGATGCCTTTTACCGAAATAGACAATAGTTCACATTAAGTGTAAGTCAAAAAGAATGTTCCTATGTCATATTTGCATCATTATCGATTTTAGCGATACCTGTGCTAACAATCTAGGGTGACACGGACATAAAAACAATTTTTTTAAAGATGTTTAATAGATATTTTTTGGCATATGCATATGTTTTTAGAAATTTTGACACCCATCTAATGACTAGATATTAATATCAATGTTCCCTAGTGAACCGAAGAAATATAAAAAATCATTAAAGTGTCCGCTAAATGACCCCCTCAAATGCAGTACATAATAATAATCAGAAAGCAGAGGAGAGGGATGTTTTTAGAAATTTTGACACCCATCCAATGACTTGATGTTAGTGTCAATGTTCTCTAGTGAACCGAAAAAATATAAAAAATCATCAAAGTGTCCGCCAACTGACCCCCTCAAATGCAGTACATAATAATAATCAGAAAGCAGAGGAGATAAATGTGTAATTAATTCTACATTCATTCTAACTATTTTTATCTAACGATATTTTAAAAGAGAATTTATTAAAAGTAGAGTTACTGTCTAAAAATCAACATAAGGGATATAGTGGCTCACAAAAAAGAAGAGCATCATTGATCAAAAATAAACCTTGTGAACATTTAATACTATGTACATAATTTGTTTGTTCATTATTTCCTAAACTGTGACTTTATGAAAGATCATAGAAAGAAAATATTCTTTCTAATGTTTCCAAGGTGAATTTCTATTCTAAATTGATCTTTTACGACTCTTCTCTGTATCTCATAATATTTTTAGATAAGAATGCACAGCTTTCTAATAAGTGGTGCTGGAATCAAATTGGAATTGATTTAATATTACAGAGGAATGAAAAATCCAGAAGTCCGAGAGAACTTTTCATGAGAAATTCCATCGGTAATTTAAAATAATAGAAAAAAGTAAGTTCAGGAAAACCATGACAATGCTTCAAATGCTTATTTTTTTCTTTTCAAAATATCAAAATGCAAACAAATTAAGGCAGGATTGCGTAATTCTGATTCATTTACAGTTGATATTTTGAAACTTCATGAACTTACTTTTATCTATACTTTGGAGCGTTTCTCCTGGAATGTAGTGTTCTCTTAACTAAGGATGTGAAAATTATGGCAACCCTCAGCCGTGGTGTTTTAGGGTCAGAGCACCTGCCTCGGAGAACCGGGTTCGAATCCCAGCGATGGGTGGTTGATTCGAATTCCACACCCGGCTCACACCAACCACAGTGCTGACGCAAAATATCCTCAGTGGTAGACAGATCATTGGTCCTCTTGCCATCAGGCTAACCGAGGGAGGTTTTCGTGGTTTTCCTAACCATGCAATGCAAATGCGGGTTATTACCATCAAAAACTCCTCCACGAAGGCAAATTTCGCCCAATGTTTGGAGTTCCCTTGTCTTCTGAATTAGGTTCGAAATTACAAGGCTACGGAGTTGATAGTCGTAAACCCTAAATTGTGACTGCTGTTCAACGACGGTTATAAAACCACTCGCAAAAAGAAGTTTCAATATTATTCCTGTTCTGTCAGCTTAATTACAAGTTTCTCTTTAGGTGAAATTAGTAATTTTATGGTTTCAGAAAATAAATAATGCATTTCTTAACTTCGAATAACAAGTTAATAATAACAAGTTAATATAGGTCTTTTTAGAAAAAATAAACCAAATTGCTGAACATTTTTTTCGTCAAAAAACACTAACATGTGATATAAATCACGCAAAAATTATGAAACTAATCATTTTTATTCTACAGTTATTTATGTTTAAACATAATTTAAAATCTTTTGAAATAATAAATTCATTTAAAAAAAAAATTTTTTTATGCAGTAATTAGATGAAACTAAAACTAACTTGAATTATAAAGCAGAGATTCATTTTCGATTATAAGGTAGCACTTTATTTTTAAGTAAGTTTAATAAATTTCCAGTCAGCTCAATAAAAAGTGATAAAAAGTACGTAATTGCTTGGTACAAAATATTCCTTTCTCAAAAAAAAAATTTAAGCAAATTCACAAAATTATCAAGTATCTAAAAATAATATTAAAAATACCTGGTGTGTATGGGGAAATGTGTTTTTACTTACTTTAATCATTTGACCTTCTTGAAAAGGTAATTCTTCATCAGCAGCATCTGGATTAGGTGACATTGTTTGCGGATCATAATCAAAGAGCGCCACAAAAAATCTCACCCTATTATGTCCTTCTTCATTTTCTGTATTATAGTCACCATATCTAGATATTGGTTCTTGAAAATCGGCTAATTTCCTTGATGAATTGCCCAAACTTCTGCGATTATTAGAATACGAGTGATTTGGTGGAGTAGGTTGCCCACCTCTCGAGGTAGTATGGTTTCGTCGATTTTGGTCCTGTAATTGTTGACGCTGTTTCTCTGAAACTGCTTGATTAGAATCATGGGATTGGCGACGATCTCGATGAGAATATTGTGAATGAATATGCTGTGAATGTGGTCCCCTGTGTGAATTGGATGAATAGTTTGTGTCAGATTCAGTGCGAAGTGGTCGTGAGGGTGCTCCTGAATATTTTTCTGGAGAACTTGTCCTGTGTCGTCTTCTTTGATTATATTCTTCTTCAGAGTATATATTTTCGGCATCATTCAACACAGTAGTTTCTCTCGGTATTTCTGAAATAAAAAAGTATATCCTCTTCACACATTTCAATCATNAGCTTTTTATTCACTTTACTTTTTTGGGATTTTATGAACTGAAAAATGACAGTTTTCGTGAGAATGACCCTTATATCTCTTGATTTTTGCATCATTTTGAGAGCGTTTTCTTTAAAGTAATTTATAAAAATGATAAAGCGTTTGTTGCATTGATTTGGGTATGAATGTTGCAAAATTTAAATGGCATTATCATAAGACAGTGTTTTTAATTAATTAAATTTCAAACTCAGATTTTTATAAAAATTCCAAACCCATCATTAATCTACTATCTAACAATATAATCCCTCGGATCAACAGACACATTAGAAATATACATAGAAACAAATTGGTTAAAAATTGAGTTGCTTAAGAAAAAATGCTTCTCAAAAGTGAACTGAATTTATCGTATTTGTGAGTACGAAACAATTTCTAATTTTGAGAAAACATCATATAAAATTCCTATAAATTTATTTCAATTCTACCAAATAAATCCTAAAAATGTTTTATTTTTCTCATTTATATCAGTTTCAGATGAATCTATTCAGCGTTGCAACCTCTTTTAGAAAATGAACAAAAAGTGTTCCAAAAATTTAACTAATATTTCACACTGTACCCGGGTCAGGATTTTCACTTTGTAAACGTGCAAAATGAGTTTTGCTGAGTACTATATCATAATTAAAACTTTTTAAATTAACAATCGTATTAATTTGAAAGAAATTAATGTAAAGCAACAAACAACAAAAAATAAACGTTTTGGTGTGAATACATGATATTAGTTCCTATAAAAAAATAATTAGAATATTAGTGCTTTTAATAATTATCGTAATACCCCTCTCCGTAATACCAATTTCCCTTTTTCGATTTTGCAAAATAATATTTCAAGGTAAACAAGATATATCTTATTCTATGCAGAGAAATCAATGATCTTGTATATATCTTTCGAATATAGAAAAACATTGCTAAGAAATATTAGCTTTTCAGAATTTGTAATGCTATCTAGCGTATAGTCCCTGGCCAAATTATTAGACGCACTGCAAGATTCTATATAAAATCTAAATTATTAGGTGATACTATACAGATTTATTGTTTTCACGCGACTGAAACCGGTTTGCCCTTGTTTACGTTCGTGTATCAGTTGGTTAAATTAGGCGATATATAATTGACGATTGGATAAATTAGACAATATTCTATATAAATATAGAATATTTATTATATCAGGTATTATATTAGTATATTATATTAATTAGGCCAAATTGTTAGACGCACTGTAGTATTTTAATAATTACATTTTTTGCACGAGTTTATATGCAATACTTTTATAGTTAAACATACGTGTAATGGGTTTTTATTCGGGTGATTTTTATATACTTCCTATTTGTATTTATTTTTAACGTATTGCATTACAATGTTGACCAATTCATACATGAAAGTAAACAAGTTCAAACCGGTCCGGTTTCAGTCATGCAAAAATAATAAAGCTGTATAATAGCACCTGATAATTAAGATTTTACTTAGAATCTTATAGTGCGTCTAATAATTTGGCCAGTGACTGCATGTTCATTATTAAAATTAGAAGTATTCTTTTTGAAATTAGATTTAAGTTACCTAATAAAATTTTATTTATTATTTTTTTACTTTTATTTTGAACAGATAATTTTTCAAACATTTGATTGTAAACATTTGCGCAAATTTGATAGGATAAGTGAAAAACTTTGGCTTATTGGAAGTTATACTAATAGTTAGTTTCGATTTACAACATTAAATTAATAAATGTCTGATGTTTTAACTAAATTAACTAACGGTCTTATAAAGTTTTGTAATATTAAGGAAAAAATGCAGTGCAGTATTCTACTTCATTTTTTTAAAAATTTGTGACACACTTTATATTTTTTGAAAATTTTAAATTAGTTAATATTGTAGATGCCTTTGTATTGAGCCTTTCTGAAGCTCTAGAAATATTAAATTGTCAAGTTTTACAGGTGCACAACCATAACTTGTATACTCTCAGTAAACTTTTGAAGAACTTAAAAAAATGCATGTGCTTCTAACATTTATTGGACAGGTGTTTCTGCACTTTTACCTTAGCACTTTCATCATTATCTATGATCTGCATAAACTCTTTGCGGCAAATATGACACAAACGGCAACAATTTCACGCAAATTTCTGAAATTAGAATACGCAGTTTCTTCCTCTTGAAAGGGCCATTCTCATTTCTCAATTTTCGCACCATCGAGAAAAAAAGGATATTTTCTCGATGCTCTGATTATCACCATCTGATTGGTGAGTTTTTCGTGTTAGAATATACTTCACCAGTCAGGTTCTCCGTTGAACGTAACCGAAGATGCAGGAATCGCATGCAAGGAGACTGACTCTGAATCTCTTTTCTAGTAACTGGTTCACTCAGTGTTTCTGTATCCACTGTTTTCGGAACAAATTTTAGTTGCTATTTCACTTACATTATTTTTGAAGCACTGAAAAGTAGTTTCTTGGCTTCAAGTACATTAACCTTGAAGGAAATATTGTTTTAAATCTAGTAGTTTATTGCACAGGGCTGTTTAAGGAACTTTATGGTACAATGGTCTATTGGCTGTAATTTTGCTTTTGTGCTTGTTGGGAGAAACTGCTTTAAAAATTGATAGCTCACTGATCTCTGCACATTTATTCACAAAAATAGTAATTTATCTTAGCATCGAATATTCGATGAAGTTTTCTAAAGAAGTCTTGGGAAAAAAAGACGTCATCCAAGCATTTTGTTTTATACTAATAACCAAAGAATCTGTTTTAACTTTCATGAAACATTGATGATTTAGGTATTTTCTGGTAAAAAAAAGGCATTTTTTTTGTTATAGAGATAATTCCCTCTACAAAGACGATTAAAAGTTTTCAGCTAATTTTGTCTCCAGAGAAATTTTCTTCCTTGAATATCGTTGTCTGTTTTCAGGCATTTTTTAACAAAAATTACGATTGGATCATCATCTGTTTCATTTTGGAGATAGCTAAGTTTTACAAATCAATATGGAAGATATTTAAAAATAACGTAACATTGAAGATATTTAAAAATAACGTAACATTAAAGATATTTAAAAATGGCACATGTTTAAAAACTTTTTACTGTATCCTTAAAGGAAATTTAGTGACATTTCATTTGATTATTGTTCTTATACTTAAGGAGGAATTTTTATTTTCTTCTTCCCTCAGCAATTTTTCTATTTTCAACAGTATTTGCAAAATTTATCACTTTCTCACTCAGCAAAGCGCTACTTATTTGAATGGTATTTTTTAGGTAGCTGAATCTAATTTCAAAGAGCTGATTCCACTTGCTTGCATATTTTTCTTTTAGGCAGTGAATTCATGGATTGAAGAGGTTGAGAGAGACGTTAAGTTCTTAAAAAATAAGGAATTACAAAGCAAAAATACAAGACAGACGGCGTTGGAGAAGAATTGTTAGGGAAGGTGTCGTCCAGCATGTACTATTGAGTAAGTAAGTAAATAAGTTCAGAGATTACTTAATATCCTTAAGATTATTTTCTCCTCTTCTTAATATCTTGAATGAGTATTCAGTCGAATTCCATACTTCAGCAGTATATCTTTCTTTTTCATAGTTGCATTTCTTAACTATTAAAAATATTAGTTTTATCTTCCACGCTAAGAGTTTTCACTTTGGCATCTTTAGTGATAAATACCTCTTCCTTGCAAACTTTAACAGCAAATAATGAACATAAAAGTAAATTAAACAATTGGTGTATTTGAGATTAGTTTGAATGCATACATCTATATTGAATCCTTTTATTTCGTAAGGCCAAATCGACGCAGTATAACATTGATTCTAACATTGTAATTAATAGGGACAAAAGCGAGTAACTTCCCTACAAGTGTTATTCCTTTCTCCTCTTTTTATTCTCAGTCTAATTGTCAACTTTCCTTCCCTCTTATATAAAAGTGAACTTCCTGTAAGACTTTTGATTTAAGGAACAGATTATTCGCACTGAATCTTAATGGTTCGGGGATTGAATCTTAAATATAATAGTTAATTAGAGCAGACGATATTTTAAGCCATGAACAAACCCGAATTGGGTTTTTCGGGTTTCCCCCGGCTAAGTACTAGAAATGGGAGCAGAAGTTCTCCGTCCAAAATGTTGGAAAATTCTGTGCCAAAAAACTTTTTGTCTCTGGATTTATAAAGTAGTTTAACTGAAGTTAAATTTTTACTTGCAAAAACAACCATTTCTAGCGAATTTGCTTGACTAACTATTTATCAAAACAAAATTTCATACTGTTTTTACATTATCTATTAGAAACTGGGAAAATGAGCAATAAACCATAAAATGCAATGAGAGAGGAAAGTCAATGAGGGGGTTAAGAACACTTACTAAAAAAACATCCACTTATTAGAGAAAATCTATTTATTAAAGAACATTTATTTACTAACGTACCGCCTTAGATTTCAGTACTACATGGTTTGAATACAGTTTTTGTTGTATTATAAAACTGAAAAAAACTGACTAAGACTAATAAATAGCACAAAGATTTCATGCAAAACTTTCAACAAGATGTTATATTCAAATAGGAAGCACAAATTTGGAACAAAGGGAACATTCATTCTAAAAGCATGCTTTCCCATGCTACTAAGGCAATGCTTCTACATATACTTACTATGATTCTGAATAGCTTCCTTGCTAGCTAAATTGGAAAATTTCACATATATTATTTACGCACAACTATAGCAACTTAATTTAAGACTACACTCATATTTTTGAATTATCATTTTTTATGAAACTACAATGAAATAAGAAATATTTAGTATATTTTTTTAAACAAGTAAATTTGAAAGGAAAATTTATCTAAATAAGCAAAAATAAATTTAAGTCTTTCTAATCGCTTTTCATTGTAAAGAAATATTTTTGGTTATTAATTGTCTGTGATTTATAAAAAAAAAATCTTTAAGGTTGTACTATCTAATATTCATTCGAAAATTGCAATTTACATTTAAAATCTTTTAAGACATTTAAGTATTTTTTATTAAAAAAAGATTTCATAATATTTTATGAAATTTTATTTTATTTTCTCTGGACAAACCTTAAAAAAGGACGTGCAGCTAATTTATATTAGACGCCAGTAATTATAAGAGATTTTTGAACGATCTTCATGCTTTTTCTCAATAACAATTTGTTAAATAAATAAAAAAACTACTTTTATTTTTCAAAAAAATCATATACAAAATTATATTTACTATTAAATTTTAGGAAGGTAAGGATTTGAATTTTATGGAAGTCTAAGTTGGTAGTTACGATTGATTCATAGAAATTACTTTAACATTTTCAAGCATTGTAATGCAATTTAACTTAAATGAAAAATAATTATTTCATATTTATTTTTTACCAACATTTTGAAAAATAACGTGTTTTGTTTTCTTAGGAAAAGCAAGAACGACACAAAATAAATAAGGACTAAAAGAAGGACTAATTTAGAAAATATATTTACATAATAACCCTACTATTGACACTTTTCTGTTGGCACTCAATTTCTCAGTTAAAGAAAAATCTTTTGGTGGCCTTGATTTTTTAAAAATATTCGTGGTAGGGGATATTTTTTCGCAATGTCTACTTTATTTTCAATGAATACAACTGTGAGTCTCAGAAAATTTGTCAAAAGCACATTTATAATCAATGCTTGGACGAGAACGTATAAGTGTATCGTAGCACCATTGTGTGAAAAATATTTGTAGAGTTTCTAAGGAAACAGCTAAAATCATTGTTCTCTATTGACTATTTTTTTTTTCATTTAAATTATAATTTATAATAAAATTGGTTTATGATAGGCTATTTCCAAAACATCCCGTTTGTTATATTACTATAGTTAAGGAAAATAAATAAATAAGCCACTCTGAATTATTGTTTCCCCACCATAATATTTATGTCTTTTAAAAATGCTTTAAAAATATTACTTACAATGAAATAATTACGAGATTTGTATTGTGTTAAAAATAACTAAAAAAGTTGGATATCTAATAAAAAAATATTACTCCGCGTTTGTACTTTTGTTATTTTCCGAAATGGGAAAATTTATTTGAATTTGGAAAACGAGAAGCTTCTTTGGGAATTCTGATACCTGTATTATACTTAAATGTTTAGCATATACCACTTAGACTAAATTTCAATAAAGTATTTTTAGATATATATTTTATTTGTATTTTACTTAAAAAGCTATATTATTCTGTTGTTTTGTTTTAAGGTGCTTAATGTGCAAAGATGATCTATTCTAATTTTGCTTCAAGAGTTCTTTTTCTCAATTAGAACTTCCAAAAAAATTACATTTTTATTCAATAAAAATAAGATTTCTGCAGCAAAAAAAAGGGAAATATTCTGTTGAGCGTTGAGTTAACTCAAATATGTGTGAAGGCAAGAAACATTTTATTCATTTAAGTGATTCTTTACCTTCTGTAATTAAAGTAGCATTTATATTAATTACTAATACAATAATATAAACTATAAAATTCAAACAGTTATAATTTATCGTAGTGTTTTAAGGAGCAATGCTTTATATGCAAAGATAACCAATTATAGTTCCATTTTGAGTATGTTTACTTTTTCACAATTAGACGCTCGAGAAAATAACACAATTTTTGTAAAATAAAAACAAGATTTATAGAACAGAAAAGGAAATGTTTAGATGGCTCAGTCTCTACCAGAATATGTTTCAGGTAGAGTTGAATTTGTATCAGTCTATCTGACATTTTGCTAAGTATCTAAAACTATCAAGTACTGGAAAAACATCAATTAGTATCAATTACTTTTCAAAATACATTCAAATTTAGTAAAATCTCTAAAATTTGTTTAAAAGAAACAGATTGAAATCTTTTATATTTAACGTTAGAGGGCAGTACCATTTAAGTAAGTTTGTTTCTGGATCAATTCAAATACCCGATTTGACGTAATAAGTGCAATTTCAATCATATGTACCGGGTATTATTTTGGTAATAGTGCCAACTGAACGACAATTTCTGTAACTAGTTTCGCTAGACTCCTATTAATTTGGATTTATTCCTTTTGGATTAGTCCAGGATTAGTCACTTACATTTTGGAGCTTTGGAACTCTTTATTTGTATTCGCTTTGTATCATTCACGGGACTTACAATATCTGAAGCTGTAGTAATCTTTTCGTCTTCTCACAGATAATCTTTCCAAGTTTCTCGCATTACCTGATTGCATTTTCTCCTTATATTCAAATGATTTATCTCACCATTATTTATTTCCATTTGATTTTATAATATTTCTTTTAATATGCTTTATTTTAATAAGTTTTTGTGTTATTTTCTTTGATGGTGTTAAACATCAAATGGAATTTAATGTTTAGAAAAAATATATTATAACGATAAAACAATTTTGATTGAGTAAATGTACTCCCTTCTGAAAAGAATTCTCGTTTAAAATACCTAATCTTCATTAAATTTTAATAAAAAATGTAGTTTAAGCAATTAGATTTTAAGGTTAAATAATTATTTTTAACGTTTTATTGTTGGAGAATTATGCATGATAGAATAAATATTTCAAACTGGTAGTTTAACCAAATTTTGTTTAAACTAATTGCATATTTTCTCTTGTTAGTTACTACTTTAACAGTATTAATAATTATAATTATAGCTGATTGATTTCAATTCCAAATGCATGTTTTCGCATATATATTGCACGTTAAATATGTTTTTTTTGAACAAAATATTTTTAAATTTATTTCGAATTTAAATTAAATTTCCTTTTATTTTCCGACCAAAAATATTTGTTAAGATTTCAATACAAGCAAATTATAATTCAAGATTAGCTTATAAATTCAAAACAAAGTTTTAGCTCTGAAAAGGCAATAGAAATTTAACTCCTTCTTCTTTCGCTGGTCCTGAACAGGTTAATGTTAAATATTTTATTAAAAATTCAAGATACCTATTGTTGGTCTAGAAGGGTACATTTCTTTGTCACTTAAATTCTCTTCGAGGTCTAAGACAATCTGCCTGTTTCTATGACCTTCTGACATACTTCGAGTGTTATAAGATTGGTTTTTCCATTCTTGACGTCTCTGGTTAGGCATTTGGTTTTGATTCATACGCCGGACGGATTCCTAAAACATTCATTTAAGAAAAAGGCAAATTATTCAAATCAGAGTCATAAGTACAAATTCAAAAAGTATGGGACTTTTTTCAAAAAAAAAGAAAAAAGAATTTTTTTTGGGGGGGGGGGAAATATAGGACAAAAAAGTAAAAACACAGACCACTTGTCAGTAACTGCTTGTGATCAAAACGGCTTATAGGTGGCACTTAGCAGAATTCTTTATTTATGGAAGCAACCGGCATGTTTTCAGCATTATACATTGTCATACATTGCATACATATCATACATATACATTGTCATAGAAGTAGCATGTGTGCTAATTTCTTCCTTGATTTTGAAACAGATTGAAAAATTTAAGTTTGTGCTTTTTTTGCATCTCAAAACTACGTTATAACTGCTTATAATAAGAGCAGCAAAAATTTCAGAATATATTTTAGACGTTGTATATTAAGTATTGTGGGTGCTGAAAGCATCGTTATATATTCATATACAACTCAACAGAGGAAGAATGGGAAAGGAATGTTCTAAACAAAGAATCGGTGATCTACTCAATTGGCCTAACTGAGCATTGTGATTGCGAATATTATGCATTCAACATCATAAAAACATTTAAAATTTGACAAATACTTTTACACTACTAAATGGTGACAATTAGTATTACACACTTTGTTGCTTCACGATTTAGTTATCATAATAAAAATTTAAAGGATTCTAATCCATAACATTTAAAGGAATTACATATTGTTTCAAACACAGTGTAAGTTTTAGTTTTACGCAATGATTGATTTCAATTCATGGTTGTGAAAATTCCTTCCCCCTGAAGGAGTGGTAAAAGTTGAACCAAACTTTCATGAAATGTAAAGTGACGATGATATATGCAAATGATTAGAATTACAACGCTCAGCGTGGCGGACAAATAAAATGCTGATTTCTCTCTCTCTTTTTTCTGATTTCTCCATTTCCTTATTTCTTTCTCTCTCTGAATGTTGCCACCCCCTCTTTTTTGTCCTGTAAATTTGATTTATTACTTTTACCGCTATCAGTCATAATCAAACCATGAGAAATGATGAAACATCAATAAGCATTTGTTGTTTTATTAATTTCTGACAATTCCTTCACAGTATTGCAATTTTTAGAGTGAGAAAAATTATTCAGCATTGTTTTAAGGCTTATTTTGAAAAACTTTTAATTTTTTTATCGCCTGTATCAATTAGGCCAATGCTTCAGTGTTTTAATCAGTGTTTTTTTTTCTTTAACCATAACCTTAGTTGATGAAATTTTCTCTTTAAGTCTTTTAATTTCTCTTTAATTTTTTTCCGTAGGCTGACTTTGTTCAAGATCTAAACTATTTTCTTCAATTCCTATGATTTCACCTCCTTATATTGCAGGAGATGTTCTCTTTTATAACTCTATCACCAGTTGCATTTTTTTAAACCAAAACTATCAGACCGAAGATTGAGCATAAGCTCATCCTTGACATTTCATTAATTATAATCTGCTTATTTACAAAAAAGGTCTCGTTCAACGGAAACTTGAGACGTTGGGAGGATTACAGTTATAAATCTTATTTAAAAAAGAAAAAACATTTATAATTTCCACTCCCATCTTTAAGACCGAAAACACTATTTTTTTTATCAATAGCGATACTTTCAGTTTCTTTGAGCCTTATCATTTGTCTATCGATGCAAATGATGAAATCATCAGTCAGTTTATAAACAGAATTTTCAAGTATAACATGTTGCTCAACAATCTGACATCTAGCAAAGTAGTCGATAATGATTCTTTCTTGACTAGCACATTATCTCAAAAGTATGAATTATGTTCATGTGCAATAAATAGAAAAAGTAGGAATTAGTAAAAATATAATACTTTTTCTACCTTTTTCATAGAAATAAATTATCTGTTTTTTTAAAAAATTCTGAAAATATTTTTTTTATTATTATAAAATAATATATTGGCTAAAATCTGCTCATTAAAGAGAATGAGGTTCTAAACGTCACATTAGTGAATTTAAGTAAATTATATTTAAATTTCATTTGTTTTTTGTCAATGTCTTCGTTTTTGATCGATTTGTGCAGATATAACACACAAAAGTTTAAAGATACATCGGTTTGACTCTTTCAATGATGAAGGATTTTTTATGATATTTGTAGATATTATTTGTTTTCATGCAGGTAATCTTAAGCTTTTTTAATTTTTCAGTAAGAGAAGGTCTGACTCATACACCTACTGCTGAAAAATCCCGACATTTAAATAATTTTGTAACATGAGAGCATATTTGACATGACATGAGACACTATCTTAATACATATGAATTAATTTGTGATGACTATTAATGGAAAATCGGACACAAAAATATAATTTTCTTTAAATAATGTACATTTTTTAAAATATTTCTGAATTTTATTCCATTGGCAAAGTAAACACGTTAGAAAAGGGTAGTTTTTTTAGAAAAATAAGCACCTAAGCAACTAAGCAACTTTTTCTTAATAAGCTAAACATGACCGGTTTTTCCTCCCATGATATAATGTATGCCAACAGTCATAGACGTGTATGGAATTTTATCATTGCATGATTTTTGTAAAATGCAAATAATATGACATTTATTTTATATTATTTGTGCTTTTTAACATTGTTATAACTTCATATCATAACTCAGTACATCGTTAATTCTTTTTGATTAGGAAATAAAAAATTAACTAACTTAATGTTTGAAAGAAAAAAACTAACCATCTGCTTACGTCATTAATATTAATAGCATAATAATTTTTCAAAGAATATTTATTTTTTTACTTCACAACGAAAAGGTATTAATTTTGGGAATTAATATTTTTTCAAGAGCTCAAGGGAAAACTATGGTTAGCAATAGTTTTTAAAGAAAATTTGAGTTCTGTGGTAAAGGAACTTATTTTGAATTTTAATAGCTATATAGAATCCATTTATGTTCGTTAGTATTGGATCATTAAAAAAAACCCCACTTATTTCAATGTTAATTACATTTTAGGAACTTGTTACCCTGAATGAATAAATTCAATCTTCTGGTTTGATTTAGAACGTCATTAATTAGGTATTTTTGATTTGTTGCCGTTCATGATAAAAATTGACTAAAAGATTTTGTTAAAGAATAAAAGGAAGATTTCATGATTCACTTTCATATGAGTTTAAAAATTTTCATTATGGAAAAGAAAGTCCGGACTTCTATGAAAAGAAAAAATGATAAAATAGAAAGAACAAGAAATTGAATTCCAGTTTAGATTCAGTACAAATAATTAACATTGTTGCATGGAAGAAAGTAATAGATCATAATTTGGTTGGTGGTCAATATAACTTCCTTCTGCACTTTTAATGTTCTGTTATCAAAAATGCTTAAATACACTATTTTTCATGGCTCTATGAAACAAATATTTTTTCTTGCAATATGAGAAAAATAACAATTTACAAACAATTTTTAGAAGGTTACTTACTTGTACGCGTGCTGAATTTTTTGTCATTTCCTCTGCTTCGCATTCAACATCATTTATACTTTCCACTTTACAAAGCATCTTAGATTTACTCTAAAATAAAATTAAATACATCAGTATTTTCTATAATTAGAGTAAAAGTTTTGAAAAAATTAATTTTTTAAAACGAAAAATACATCGTTAAAACAGGGGAAATGTTGAAAAAAGTGTATGTATTTATTGAATTAAAATCTAAAATTTTTAATAAAAAAAGTATTTAATTAAAATTGCTCAATTTTTAGAATAAGTTTTTACAAAAAATGATTTTTAGAAAAAAAAGGCATTGATTAAAGTACGTGTTCTTACAATTCTAAACAGCAAAATTTACTAATTTAATTTTCGAACGTTGGTTTTAACATTATTTGCCCTTATTCAACCAAATATTAACATGAAACATTAAAAAATAAATTGTGTGTTTCGTACTTTGAAATCTATCTTATTACACCAAATTAAATCAGCATAATTATGTCTTATAATTAAATATTTTATCAGCATAATAAAATGTTTTTTATTTTTTTTACAAAAAATAGAAAATATGTATGCAATATTATTAAAATTGACTCGAAATACATATAGTTGATAAAATAAATTTTTGTTTTGAGAATTAACTAGCCATGATAAAGCATATGCATATCTCGATTCTTTAATATTATTTAAATTAGTGTAGTTTGTTCCATAAGAAATGCTAACAAAAAGAGCTGTATAGAACAAATCTGAATATTAATAATTGCCAGTATTATACTGTTATATCACTAATAATTTTAAAATAACTATTGTTTGTTGATTAGAAAAAGAATGCAAGCTCACTAACACTGAACAGACTATGGAATTTTTCAGGAGACTGGATTTCAATCATGCTTTAATTATTATTAGGTGTCTTGCAATTGGGTACTTGCACTTCAAGAAGAAGATCGCAGATACCTACATATGTGATCTATGACGTCAGTGCCAGCTGATTGCTTAAAACAAAATGGCTCGTTAAAGTTGAGCGAAGAAGTCAGAATGTTAATTAACACGAAGTTAATGAAATACAGCGCCAAATCGCACATCGAATTTATTGAATTAAAATTCTTTCTCCTCTCCGTCTTTCATTTAACTTGCATTTATTATTCGTTTTTGTATTTTACTGCAACTATGATATTATTTTCGTTTTGTGTATCTGGCAACTTCGATGCATAATTTGTTTGTTTATGTTTCACATGTCTTTATATCTGTCTTTGTGTTAAGTAAGAAATATATAGTGAAAGAATTGAAATCTTTGTGAAGGAATCTGTAAGAATATAGAATGCGTCGCTTAAGAGAATTGGTACTTGACTGGCTTAGATTACTTAAAATAGAATTGAAAAAATTGTTGCTAACGTAAACAAATGCCACGTTTCAACAACCAATCAGGATCGAGATACCAACATTGCGTCACTTGGAGGTATCCCATTGAGGCAGAATTTACACGTAACGAATTAAAGCAATATTGACTAAAAATTTAAAACAAAATTTTTTGTTTCGGCGTAATACACTATAGACAATTATTAAATAAAAGATATTCAGTAAACAGCTTCTTTAAAAAATCGGCAATTTATTAAAAACTTACAAAAGCCCGCGATTTGGTTTTATATTGTTCACGTTCTTCAAAAATACGTAAATAAAACAGTTAGGCTACATTTGCAGTGAATGAATGGTTTTACATAAGAAAAGCGAAATTTAAATACAAAAAATGAATCGAAGAATTTTAACTGAAATGTTTAGTTATAGAACACAATATAATAAATGGAATAGATTAAATTTAAGTAACAATAATATTTTCAAAGAATCCTTGCATAATAAAAGAAAAGGATGTTACACTTTGAGGTCATGAGTATACGAAGCAAATTCTACCTCATAACTTGATAAATTTTTTAAAAAAAATTTAAAAGTACATAAATTGTCAGATGATTAATAAATATTAATATTTTTTTTTCATTTCATTAGAATAATATGCACTATGCACTTATCTTTGGTAAAGATATCAAAATGATATTAGAGATAAAATTTATTTATCCTTATAATTTAAAAGAGAAATTAACTATTGTGTTCTTAGGGGACCTAGTTCAACAGTAAAAAGAAATGAGAAATATTCTTTAAATCATCAAAAATAAATTGATGACGAACAATTGCTCAACAGAGAAGAATATTTTGAAGCTGGTAAAATAAATTTAATTAGAATAGAAGAGGTAACATGGTTGATATTCTAGAATTTCAACGGTGTATATGAATGCAAATACAATTCTGTAACCAGCATTTATAGAAAAATAATTTATCATTAAATCTTTTTCAGTTCACATATTTAGAAATATATTTTTTTATATCTAATTTACGAAAGAAGAATTTTTCATTATTAAAAAATAATGACAGAAAATATTTAAGAAAATCTTAAAGTAGATAATTGTATGGAATACCTGAAATTACTAACTGTTAAATTTTACTACTCTAAATTTTTGGCTTAAGAAAACCAATTTGTAATGATATCAAGTGCAATTTATCTTAATAAGCAAAAAAATCAATTTTCCAATTTTTTTGAATATTTTATTTAATTTATCTGGAGATTTGAAGGATTGTCAAACATATTATAAAAATAGTATAGAATAGGCATTCATATATTTCATTGGTTTGGAATCGCAGAATTATTTAAATTTCTAATTCAGCAAAATATAAAATAAGTTCTAAATTTGTCTCAAAATTGTTTGTCTGAAAAATAGAAAAACCACTCTTTAACAATGCCCAAAAAATACTTTACTAATGCTTAAATACTTTACTATTTTAAATTTTTATTATTTAATTTTCTTAGGGGGATTTTTTTAAAATTTTGCTAAATTGGTTGGTGATCCAATAAGTTGGTTGGAAAAAAAAATACTAGCCAACTAAGGCAGCTAATCTTAGGTATTTAAACTTAAAGCCATGAATGTATCGGTAAATTTGAAGTCGAATGAATTTAAGTGCGTGAATAATATTGGATATGATACTATTAAATAAGCATATTGAATGCTTTAGGAGTATAAGTCAAGGAGTGGTAATTGAGAGCAACTGTTTTCCTAAGATAGGAAACATTTTATCTGAATAAAATCTTTCGAACCATTTTCTGATTACTTTCTGAGTTTGTTCTACCTGAAGATATGCAACCTAAAGCTGAAACTTGCTTCATGCTGCACCAATTTGAAAATTACAATAATATATTGAATAAAGGAAAATTTTAAATTTCCGTTTTTTTAAAATTTAAACACTGAAAATGAAAACATGTTAATTATTTATCTATATTAACGATTTCTTAATGAGTGAAATGCAAAGTTTTGACTAAAATGTCTTAAAAAACTGTGTTCTGATAAATTTGTTTTTATTTAATATGATGGATAGAAACCTTGTAATATGACAGTTAATTATTTGGATAACGCAATTTAAATGTTATTTTTATTGAATCTTTAAATCACATTTTTGTTTTACACAATAATTAAAAAAAATTCTTTCTATTCCTTCTATGATAGACATCTATTTTGTTTCATAAATTACCGCAGAACCAATTATCGATACATTCTAGTGAGCTATATCAAATAAAAAATATGCACCAAAATTAGTTCACACTTATTTGAGATATTTGTACTAAAGATCTCAATTTACTGTAATCAACGAAAAAAAAAGATAAATGGCGAAAGAATGGAATGAGTTTCATTTTTCAAGATTAAGAAAAATATTATATTCTATGAGTAAAAGAAAGACAAGAAACGGGATAAAGGCTACCAGATTTCTTTTACGCAAATATTAAATATTTCTTGTGCAATTATTTGGAAACTAGACTGCATTGTTTCCTAAACAAAGCTTAAATCTGGCAACCTGTATGCAAGACCATCTAAGATTATTTTATTTCCTAAATGATGAAACAAATTTACTATACATAGTGATCCGTAATGACCATCCGTATTATGTATGATTAGAATCCTTGCAAATAATAAAGTGAAAAAACTGAGCATTTTAGGGGTTTCAAATTAATTTTTAAGTGAGTAAAACATAAAACTTTCTCTTCAAATAAGCTGTTTATAAGACTCCATCGTTTCATTCATTCTTATTCATTTTTCTTCTTTCTCATTTTAAATTCTCATTCTTTCTCATTCAAAAATTGGTAACTTATAACACTCACATTTTTTACTTCATTTTTACATGGACTCTAGAATATATTACGGCCATTAGGGTGCATCTTGTATTTATCAATAGCACAGTTCCTTAAAAACAAGAATGTCATATCTCAAACAATCTAATTCTTTAAAAAGTCATTTATTATGTAATCTGCAAGATTGGGTAAAGAACTGAGGAGCGTATTAGAAGGAAAAGTTTTGAGTTAAAATAAAGGTCTACAATGAATAACTGTTCGTAAAATATTCTTTGAAAACCTCTTAGACTCACAAATGAATGTCCGATGCTTATAGCGAATCCTATTCTTCCACTAAGCTTTTCAATTGTATTCAATGCTTGAGTTATGACGTTGTAGGATATTTTAGAATACTGAGACATTTTACTAAAAGAATTTAGAAACACTATGAAAGTGTATGATCGGAAATAAGTGTCTGTGAATGAGTACTGTAGACATAGCGTATTTCAAGGAAATTGTAACACAAAGCTATAAGATAAAAAATTCATAGTTTAGGTCAGATAACATTTCTTTAGAATAAAAATAATACTAATTAAATTAATTGATAATTAAAGATAAAATTAATTAATTAATGCGTCCATAGAAATTGTATTATTACACCAATGTTTTTAATAATAAAATAAATCAATAATTCAGCATGCATTAAATTTTTTCTGTTGTAATATTCCAAAGGGAAGCAACGACTTTACCTTTTAAAATCATTAAGCCAATTTATGGTATTTAAAAACTGATTTCCTTAATATTTTCCAGAAAATCAGTTCATTGCCCTTTATAAATACGACTCAAAACTTTCTGATAAGAAATAAATTTTCTTCTTGCTTCTTAGCTAAACCAGATGCTATAAATGTCACCAGCACTGTAAATATTACAAAGATCACTACTG